CGGGACAGAAACGAGGCAGAAACACGTCAGAAACGGGTCAGAAACGAGTCAGAAACGAGTCAGAAAAGGGTCAGAAACGAGTTAGAAACGGGTCAGAAACGACTGGGAAACGGGTCGGAAACGGGTCAGAAACAAGTCAGAAACCAGTTAGAAACGGGTCAGAAACAAGTCAGAAATGGGTCAGAAACGAGTCAGAAACGGGTCGGAAACGGGTCAGAAACGGGTGGGAAACGGGTCGGAAACAGGTCAGAAACGGGTCAGAAACGGGTGGGAAACGGGTCGGAAACGGGTCAGAAACGGGTGGGAAACAGGTTGGAAACGGGTCAGAAATGGGTTATGCACGGAGTCATGAAAACGACACAAAATCACACAAAGAATAAGGAAAAGGTCCAAATGTTTTCATATTAATTGTCAACAAGGAAATGACATTTCACAGTTTTCAATACCGAGGAAGTAGCTCAGCTATGCTAGCTTGACTATGAAGCTTTAGCATGTAGATGTGCTGCAGGTCGGTGTGTTTCAGTTCAGTTAACACTAACATAAGGCACTCGACACTCCTACACTGACAGATCAGAGCAGATGTTAATCATATATTGTCACTTATGAATAATTGCAAAATAAATATCAACCCTGAAAACTAAAAGAACATGAAACTGCCTGAAGGTTCTGTTTGGTGATTTGTGTGAAGAATGTTCTTGTGGTTTTGGTTCACATTCAGGTTTATCAGGTACACTCCTGCCGTGGTCGACCTGTCAGTCAGTTGCCATGGCAACGGGTTGACACAGAGCGTTATTTTAAGTTGCTTTTCAGGTTTTCTGCATTATGTCCCATCTGTCGTGGCGCACTGCATGAAAACGTATTTTATGTAGCGAAACATCAGGAACTTTCTCAGCTTTTATTCAAGTCGTATTTTATGGAAACCGATCAGAAATGAGGCATTATTTGACTGGATAATAACAGTCTGGTTCTGACTCGGTGAACGGTAAAGGGGCCTAGCGATAGCGGCTAACCGGCGCCGTGCGGCCCGGTGACAGGCAGCTGGTTCTGGATGAGGTGTCAGACCTGAATGGTGTTGATGACGTAGTAGCGGTACAGGCTGGTTCTCAGCTTGTTGACGGTGGACCGGTACACGTCCTCCAGCCTGCAGAACAGGCGCCGGTCCAGATACAGCCAGTACTCCTTCAGCCCGGCCAGGTCGAAGCTCTGCACCAGCTGCTGCAGCTGCTCGATGATCCGGTCCACCTGGGGGACAGAGGAACCGTCAGACCGGGTCAGACCGGGTCAGGGCTCAGGTCCGGTCCGGTCCAACACACCCGGAAGCCTTTCTCCTTGTCCGCCTTGATGTCGCTGTCCAGCTGCTTCAACGTGCTGGTGAAGCCTCGGTACAGCAGATACTCCCGGACGTGTTTGTCCGTCCGTTCCACCGCAGAACCCATCCCGACCAGAACTGAGACCAAACAGGAAGTGATGTTCCGCTTGAGTGGAAACATCATCAACAAAAAAAACTGTCAAATCATCAACTAAACACATCTGGGAGGTTTAGTTGTGTATTTCTTTCAAGCAGAGACATCCTGAGAATCGTTTAAGCTAGAGGTCTGTCGTGTTTCTGGACGATAAATCGTCCCTAGAGTTATCGCGATAAACGATAATATTTTTTGTTTTGAGGCCATTTTAAACTAATATAATGCAAGAACAAAAAGATCAATAAACTTTAAATTCTAACAACTGGAAGACATTTTAAATATGTAAAATAAACAACAGAAGCAACAAATAAAATGAATTATGAGCCTCTGCAAACAAAATGATCCTTCAAAAATAGAAGCTAGTTGAGACTGGAGACTTTTATTGTCCAGTTTTTGGTAAAAAAAAAAAAAAAAAAAAAAAAAAAAGAAAAAAGAAAAAACAGAGAAACGACAAATCATGCAAAAGGACATTATTGAGCTCATTTTAATTTATCATGAGATTTATTGATTATTGCAGCAAGCCTTAGTAGGTTCTATAAGGCATTGCAATTCCTAGTCCTGGAAATTCTGAATCAATTCAGAAACTGATTTTAAAATCTAAGTTAATTGTCTTTGCTGCTTCTATTTCTATACTGCATTCCATATACATTTTCTTTTAAAGCTTTAATTGGCTCTAGTGGCCTTTATTTGACAGTTACTTAACAGGAAAGTTGGTAATGAGAGATGGGGAAGGACATGTGGCGAGGGTTGCCAGGCCGGGAATCGAGCCTGTGACAGCCACGTCGAGGACTAGGGCCTCCATATGTGGGTTGTGCTTAATCCCTGCGCCACCACAGCACACCCCACAGTATGCATTTTCAATAATTCTTTGATATTTTCTTATTTAAGAAAAAGCTAAATACTTAAGCTAACACTGGTGCAGAATTTTATGAACAAATCTATTTTTGTTTGAATATAAACTGATGAAATTTGATTCAGTAAATGTTCTAATCATTTACACTTTCTCAGAACAGAATCTCTCAACCGTTTGAATAGAAAAAATGGTTTCTGAATTAAAAATTGTTCCTGAATCGAATCACTAGATTGAAAGATTCACATCTCTAGTTTAAAAAACAAGCAAAACAAAATACAAAATTATTCAAACAATAACAAACAGTTTCAATAACAAAACGTAATCTGAGTTACATTTTTTATCTGTGCCAATCAATGCTCCTCTGGTTCTCCTGCATCCTAAAGAAAACATCTAACTCATCATAATACTACCTCCACCATGTTTTATAATCTTATAAAGTGATATTTCTCTGTTCTTCAGTTTTTCTTTGAACTTTTTAACCCACTTTCAAGAAAATAAAACTTTTCCATCTAAATAAAGCCGCTAGCGAAAACATTTCAATCCTTCAGCCAGAAAAACGGTTACAACACAACACAACAGGCTTAAAGGACCAGTTAGCTTAAAGAACCTGGGTTAGCCGGTTCTGTAACGGTTCCAGAACCATTTTTAACCCAAACGGCATTTATAAACTTTAAATGAAGCGTTTGTTCCGCTGCAGTTAACAAGTGTAACCGTAAACAGATCGGCCTGAATAGATGAGTATTAATATTTCCTCCGTTAACAGTTAAAAGCAGGAATTTCTGTTTGTTCTGGAGCGGAAACAGCCCTTAAAGCACACACCGAACCGGAGCCGGAACCGGTAAATGTTCTGTTTTTTAGCAGCTAAACCTCCGCAGAGCAGTAAAAATGTTAAACTCATATTTAACAATTAATAAAAACCAAAAAATTATATTTACAACAGAGAGGGACGAGCTTCCTGCTGATTCCTTCCGGCTGACAGTCACGTGAGGAAGTCACGTGACCAGAGCGAGGCGGAAACAGTGCCATCTGCCGGCCAGTAAGTAAAACGATCCATAATATTATAACAAGCTTTAATTTCCTTTTATTTGGTCTTATTTTAGGATAACTGTGTGATTTTATGAAATTCTAGGAGCAAAATAAATAAATATAAAAATACTTTGATTCTTTTAAAAGTCGAAATACTTTATTGTAACAACACAATTAATGATAAAGAAATGAAGTAACTTTAAAATTCAAAAATCTAAGGTATTGCAGTTGAGGAATAGTTTTATTATATTTACCAAATATTAGAGGACAAAATAGGCTGAATCCTAGACACATACTAATCAAAAACCATGAATAAACTAAAAAAATATATTTTATTGGTAGAACATTTAAAAAGTAATATAATTTAAACTTAAAAATATTTTTAATGTGTTTTGTCTTATTTTAATTGTATAACTGTGGCCAGAATCTGTTGTTTCTCATTCAGTTTTTTTGTTTTGGATGTTGGAAGAGAATAAATCCAGGATTAAAACACTTTTCGTCTCTTTCTTCTGACTTCCCGAACATTTCAATATGATTTCGAAGGAGAAAACACCGGAAGCTGCCGGTGCCGCCGCTTCTCCACCAGCCTGGTTCCGACCCAGTTTCTTACCGGGCAGCCCAGAAACTTTAAATAATGCTGAACAAGTGGTCGTCATGGTAACAGAATTAACAATTAACTGCGTTAATGTGAAATAAATTAACATAACAAATTTCCATTAAAGTCAAATTATTACTATTTAATAATATTTAAAAATCATAAATAAAACAATTAATCGGATTTTTAAAATGTGTGATTTGTATCAATGCTTGTTCAAATGCAAAATTTATTAAGATGTAAATAATGAATATAAAGACACAGGCTAACAGAAAAAAAACAATTAAAATATTTAGCACGGGATTTAAACAAGCAAATTTAAAGAGAAGATGGTGTTTCTATTTGGAAACCTGTTTCTGAATCGAAACAGATTCAGACTAAAGAGTTTATCAGACTTTAATGGAAGAATTTAAAAGCTGCTAGTTTTCAGTTAAACTCACTATAAAGTTCACGGTCATCATTAACTCTGAACATTTAATTTCCATTTGGGATCAATAAAGTAGTTTTGATTCAAAATTTAATTTGAAATGCGTTTAAAAATGTGCTGTTCCTTTAAATCTCAACGCCCCGATGCGTTGCCACGGTAACGGAGTAAACAATAATGACTTCCGAAGGCGAGATGTTGCCATAGCGACGCGTAAACAAGAAGGAGGAAAGATGTCAGCGAAGAAAAAAGACAAAGTGGAGGAGAACGATGAATCCTCCAAGGAGGAGGCTGAGGATGAAGAGGAGAGGTCTTCCTCCTCCTCCTCCTCCTCAGCCTCTTCACCCCGGGCGAACCCAGAAGACCCGGTGGTCCAGAACATCCCGGAGTCGGTGGACGACTTCCTGCGGAACTTCCTCCGCAGGCTGGGCCTGACCCGGACCCTGAGCCGCTTCGAGCTGGAGTGGCACGGCCTGGCCCGGGGCGGCGGCGGCGGCGGCATGTTCGTCCCGGACGCGCTGACCCACCGCCAGACGCTGCTGGAGCAGCTGGAGGCCGTCCGCGGCGACGCCGAGCAGCTCCGGAAGCAGGTGCTGGAGTCGGCGCAGAGCCTGCTGCGCATGCAGAGGGAAAGCGACTACCACCGGCAGCAGCACCGGCGGCTCTCCGAGCAGAAGCACGTCCTGATCCGGGACTGCAAGCAGCTACAGGAGCAGCTGCAGGACTCCGAGGCGGCGCTGAAGAGGCTGCGGGACAAGCACGAAGCGGCTCTGCGGACCAAGACGCTCCTCGGGCTGCAGAAAGAGCGTGCCCAGAGGCTTCCGGAACCGGAACCGGAGCCGGAGCCAGAGAAACCCAGCAGGAAGCCTCCACCCAGCAGCCCGAGCAAAGCCCCGGAGCCCTGCGGGCTTCCGGCCGCTCCGGAGAAGAGCAGCTTCCAGCTGTTCTGCTCCTTCCGGGCGCACCAGCTGCCCATCAGCGGCATCGCGCCGCACCCCGCCAGGCCGCTGCTGGCCTCGGCCAGCGACGACCGCACCTGGAGGCTGTGGGACCTGCCGCGCAGCGGGGAGAAGGTAGGCCGGGTTCTGGGGGCTCAGTGGCCGCATGTCCATTGCCAACGCGCAAAACTTTGTCCGTATTCCGCTCATGTGGAAAAAATAAAAAAATAAAATCCGCGTGTTTCCATTAATATAAAAAAAATAGAATTTCTTGTTATTGTAATTACTGTTACAAAATATCTGAATTAACAATAGAGCTGAGCAACTTGAAATTAAGAAAATAAATTTGCTTAAGCCAATAAAAAAGCGAAGTTTTTGCACCATTATGAGGTGGATTTTCAGTGTATGAAAACACCTTTTGAGGGACGTCATCAACAACCGGAAGTTACTACTAGCGAAAACAACACAAAAGAGAAAACAGGAAGTAGGAGAAGGATGATGTATTGTATGTATTATGTGGCCTTCTGGAGTCCACAGGTCCACATAAATCCACAGGTCCACATAAAAAGGACCTGTGGCGGGCCAGATTTGGCCCTTGGGCCTCGAGTTTGACGCTAAGCTGTGGCGGTGATGCTGTGAATGTTGACGCCAGGTGGCCCGGATGCTGCTGATAGGAGAGGGCCACTCTGATTGGCTGTCAGGCTGCAGCTTCCACCCTGAAGGATCCAGACTGGCGACAACCAGCGGAGACAAGACGGTGAGTTTCCGCTTTTAAACGTCATTCAGGCTCTACGGTTTACACCGGATCCACTTTTAAATCAAACTATAAACACTTTGGATCAGGCTTGATTATTTATTTAAATTGGTGACATGAGCAACTCCCCAGCTCTTATTTTGATAGCTCACTTCCGGTTACTGGCCAGGGAATTAGTATATTAGCTAAACATTCAGTTCGGTGCTAAATGTCTATCCCGCTATATAAATATGTAGCTTAAATTTAAACTTAACTTACTGAGTTTGCTAACTAAATATTTAGTTTGAACGTCTCCCACATCCTTCAACAGATTTGTTTGTTTTTAGTTGAGTTTAACCTGTCTCCTGGTTTCCTGTGTACTGTCTCCTGGTTTCCTGTCTCCTGGTTTCCTGTCTGTGAGTGACTGCAGGTTCTGGTTTGTGCTGCAGGTCCGGCTCTGGGACTTCTCCGCGGGTCGCTGTGTGCTGCTGCTGGCCGGTCACAGCCAGCCCACCTGGGGGAGCTCCTTCCACTCCGGCGGCCATGTTCTGGCGTCCTGCTCCGCCGACGGGACGTCCCGGCTGTGGGACGCCAGCTGCGGCTGCTGCAGGTTGATCCTGCGACGCCACGGCGCCTCGGTGAACAGCGTGGCCTTCCTGCCGTGCTCTGACCTGCTGCTCACCTCCTCTGCCGATAAGACGGTGGTGGTTTGGGACGGCCGGCTGGGCGTGAGCACCACCACGTTCCGCGGACACCTCCACCCCTGCAACCATGCCGCCTTCAGCCCCACCTCGAATGCCGTGGCGTCCTGCGACTCCAGGGGCACCGTCCACCTGTGGGACACCCGGAAGCCGGCGGCGCCGACGGGCATCGTGGATGCCGGGCCGCACGCCGCCAACCAGGTGGCCTTCAACCAATCGGGGAAGCTGCTGGCGGTTGCTAGCGGTGACTGTTTGGTGAGGCTGGTGGAGGCGGAGTCGTGCGGCGTGAGCACCCTGACGGGACACAGGAGGAGCGTCCAGAGCGTGACCTTTGACCTCCAGGGCGGGACTCTAATGTCGGCTGGCAGCGACGGACTGATCAACGTCTGGCTCTGATGTTTGGACCCGTCAGAACCGACCCGCAGAACCAACTACCAGAGAATAACTTTATGCAGCACTGGAGCACTTCCTGCTGTGGGAGGAAACAGGAAGTTAATGCCGAGTTCCTCTAATAAAGATTCAGATCTCCTGAAACGTTTTTATTTGAGTCCGAGGTTCAGAACGTCAGCAGAACCGGGCCGGTCCGTCAGCTTCAGGACGAGTCCTGCTGGGAGGAGGAGGAGTCCGTCCGTCTTCCTCTCTGACCCGGATCCTCCACCAGCATCTTCAGGCGGTTCAGGTACAGCCCGACTCTGAAAACAGGAAGTGACAAACAGGAAGTGACAACCACCAAGTTCACCTTGACGGATCACAGCAATTTATTAGAAATGAAACTGGAATTAAGTACAATTACAGAAACAACAATTCAGGTGTTTTATTTTATACTAAATCAAATTAAATAATCCCACATCATGACGCTGCCACCACCGTCCCTCACTGTAGAGACAGGCTCCATTTCCCCCCATATTAACCAACGTTCCTGTTGTCCTGTGGCTCTTTGGTTCCTAATTTGACTAGAAACGTGAAGATGCAGCAAATTTAGCTAAATTTATGTAGAACGACACATTTACAACTTTTTGTATTTTTTTTTCTGGAATAATTCCAACATTGTAAACAACAAAAGATATCAGAAAACTTTTGTGTTTGGATTTGTTTTAAAGTCTGACCTCTTTAGCGATGGACTTCCTGGGAAACTCTGCAGCTCTGGATCAACATCGGCTTCCTGCAACACAGATCAGCTCCTGTTTTACCACAGGTGGACCAGAAGGGGGCGACGAATCACAGAAATACCTGGAGCCGAACTAGACATGTTAAAAAAAGAGAAGCTGGGTTTAACCAGAACTCTGGAGCAAATGTATGGAGGACCAATCCTGGCAAAACTGACATTAAACATGATAAATAAATGGCCGGATGAAGCGATTCAACTGTCAAATATCGAATCACAAAAAAATAAAAAATGAGAATTTTCACAATTTATTTGATTACACAGAGTGACAAATACGAATATTTATAATTTTCAACAGTATTAATATTTCATATTATCTGTATTATT